GATCATTAACACTTAGAATTGAAGGCCTTAGGAATAAAGTTGACGAGATTGCAGTTTTCTCTAAGTTATTATTTTACAGATATCGTCATACCTAAATTCCCTGCTATTGTGCATATCCTTCAGTCTTAACATGAGTAATAAAAACCTGTGGGTGAAAATCACACATAAATTCAATGAATATTTGTTTCAAATCCTAATGTCTATAAGAAAGCAAGGTATTCTTATCAAAACAAACTCAGATCTTAAAACCTAGATGTCTGATTATAAATAAAAGCTAAAGAGCTATTATTTCGACCACAGCTCCACAAAAAAAATTAGAAAACAAAGCGTTTAAGTCGAATAACAAGGTCTAAACAAGTTAAAACATTTAAGATTTATTTCCCTCAACTTAGAATATGTTTTCTGGTGAATCTCTGATACTGACAGACACACAAGATCAAAAGGAGTATAGCGTTCAAGTGAGATCTAGTATGAAACAGCTATCCCGAAAACAGGAATGTGAGGGATCATGACAGCCTGTATACATTTACGTCAAAACAGTCACCTTTCAAAAATATACACGGCCATTAACTTTGTTGTTTTACTTCGTTGTTTTAACAAATCATGTGACCTTGTATTTACAGTTCTATGGTGGCCGCATTGTAAACCTGACTGACAGAATTCAGTCGGCACCAAAGAAAGGACTAAACACATCACACTAGTTACCAACTAGTGTCCAGTCAAAGTTCCATGCACTGTTAACTTTAGCTTTTTATACGTCTACATTACTGTAGAAATCAGAAAATAATCAGCTACATAGTAAATGTTCATTACTTCTACTTACATGGATAAAATGAATAACCTATTAAAAGTTTACCTGAACTTTTAATTTAAAGGTTCAACCTTCCATTTATTTCTAGTCAAAAAATTATCTTAAGTTGTCAACGTAATGATATATGCCTAATATTAGTGTAAAATTTCGACGGAAAAAATATGGTAAACATTAATCAAACTGCTAATTTTATCTATACCTCATAGACGCTTCATTTCTGAGATCACATATTACGAAATTACCTGAGTTTAAAAAGTGTAGCTCTAGATTAGAAACATAATTAACCAACTTTGAAGTACTAACATTTTAAAATATAGGGGATAGTCTTTTCTTAAAAGTTAATTAAACCTTTTAGGGTTAGAGGTATTTAATCATGTTTCTTTTACGGAAGTGAAAAAAATATCTAGAAATTACTAACACACACACAAAAATTTTCATTTACTGGTATTATGTGTCACTACAGTATAAATAAGCATTAAAACTCACACAGAGTCACTTATGAACAGTTAAAACATATTTTACTACTCATAAAAATAGCTGTTTTGAAAGGGATGTAAATTTCTATACTCCCTTATCTAATTCTAGCGCTTTTTTTGTTTTATTCGCTACAAAAGCCTATCGGTAAACTCTGACATGAATTATTCTTTTCAAGTTTCTCAATAATTTTGAGATAACTTTTTTTAGAATTGACATTACGTCAATATTTCGACTATTCTACTTTGATTGTTAGCGTCTATCACCCAACATCTTTTGAAGTTTTTCTCATTAACCCTTGTCTATTTTCTTGATTAAGTAATTGATAAGTGAAACTGTTGTGGAAGGTCAATGTACTACTCTTACGTTACATTTGCAGGGGTCGGTTCCACGGCATACAAACACTGCTACAAGCCTCTTTTACATTGGTTATGCAAAGAATATTGTAGAGAGGAGTAGCACTCTATGCGGGAAACAATAGGGATTCCCAATATATCAATAAGACTTCCTGAAGAAATAAATCCTACTTTGAAAAGGAAGCAGGACCACTGATTTCTCTAGTGATATTGCAAGGTTAAAAAATATCCTGAACGAAACTTTGCTGGGAAACCTCGGCTGTGACATGCCTAATTCCTGGTTAGGAAGTAGCTCACTTAGGGTCACCGACACACTGTAGAGGTTCCTGCATGAACCACCATTAGTGTGAAAACCATCACTGTGGTAGTTCAAAAGAAAGAACTGCACACACCGCGAAAACCAAGGGGAGAAAAGTGGAGGAGTGGTGATAGAAATAAAACAACAGTAGCAGTAGTCCCTTGTGCAGGAAAAATAACCAACCATCAAAAGTAATAATGCCAACTCCAGAAAACCTGATCTCTCCTAATGGTTGGTCGTCTTTCACAAAAAGTAAGAGTCAAACAAAACAGAACTGAAGGCCAGGTTCAAACATGACTCCAGCCATAGTGGCAGATGTCATCATTCTTAATCAGTAGAGCACAGGTTATAGGAAACACCCCGGAATTAAACATCCCGCACGCCCTCTCAAAGTCACAGCATATTCTAAGACCAGGAGAGACCCAAATCCGAGCGATTATCATATCCTTAGGGGATTACGCATCTATGTCTGCGTACACCTATCCCTAGAAGACTTTATCAAAAGACTGTAGAAGTTAAAAGTGCACCATTAGTAGCGAAACAAACCCTATAATCAAGGGTTTTTGACTAATAAAAATTCCAAACCTCGTGAACCATATAACTCTGTGACTGGATCTAAGCGGCACCAGAGGAAACCCAGATAGCCTTAATCTACTGAACAAATGAACCGGGCTGGGCATTCTGGATGACTGAGGGGAACCGACTATTATTGTCATCACAGAATTTTGAATAGAACCAGGGAACGGAGACGCTAAAACTAGTTCACATAACTTCACCTTAAAATGGTACACAGATTAATGCGTGTTATTAGCTGTGTTCTCATCTACCTAGAAAATTAATTATAATTGTGAAACATAGGAACAACTGCACACAATGACGAATCATGTGAAATTACTCAGTGCTGACTGAAATGCAAGGGGAAACACACCAATTTACTATTAATATATTGCAGTCCTGACTGCACCCGCAGACGACTCTCATAATAAGGAATTTGGTATGTAGACATCAAGGTGTCATTATTTAATAATCCGTGTTTTCTATGGCCCTACAGTTGGTTGGGAAAACTCATTTACTGTATTGGGAGATAGTGCCTTCGGCCACAAGCAAGTAAAATATTCTTATCCCTAATCCAGCATGATTCTGAACAATCTTCTTCAACTTGAAACCTCTCACGGTGAGAACACCGAATAATTTGGCATCCTCCATCCATAAGAAAAAACATATTAAGCTTCTCCTTTTTTTAAATTCACAACTGCATTATCCTGAGACAGAATCCAAGGTAGACGCAACCCGTGGAAAGCCAACACAAAATGCCATTATCTAGACAGTCTTATCACATTATGGCTAGAAACATTTCTACCACGGCATTTCACCAACCAAGAACAGAATTCCATACAAACATAGCTCAAAGTGCAGTGAAACTTCCTAAAAAATTGTGAAATTCCGAAACAAGGAGTATCATGGAGTCCCTGACGGGATTACTAATAAAGATGTCATTAAGGAAAACGACGACAGGGTGGCAGTAGATGAAAAGTGTTCCACTGTCGTCTTAAGACAAATATCACCACCACTTTTAACTCTAGCTGCAGTCTTCCTGCCAGAAAGCAATATACGTCCTATTATTATCCAGCTAAATGTCATAATCAAAATTGTAATCAAGTCAGATTTATGGAATTCCATAACAAATACGTTTGTGTGATATAACTCACAATGATACAGTATTATCATATCATTGATTATGACCAAACAAATCAGCTCATTACAATAATCAGCAAACAATACTGTATCCGTGTATGTTATGTCCCATAGACTCATTTAGAATAGAATTATATTCTATCATAGTGTTTAAATTCTGCCGTTGTATTAGATTCATGAAAATTAGTGGGAATTGATGAGCTGTATCCAAGAATTCTCGATGAAATAATGGATCCACTTGCTTGTCAAAAGATTAAATCCACTTATTCTAAGTCTCCATGCACAAATTTCAGGATTCAGTAGAAACGTGAGTTACCTCCTCTTCCTTCCCAACAATACTGGGACACCTTGGGACACATAGTAAGAGATCTGAAAGATCAAGGACCAGTTATATTATTGGACAGTGATGCTTCTCGCACCCAGTCATTAACTCTTCGAAATAATCCCCATAAAGGTGGAGTCTGCACCCTCAGCCTAGTTGTTTAAGAAGGGACTAAGCACAGATACTTAGTAGAAAGTGCCTATGTGAGTAGTTTAGGGATTACCTAATGGATAGAAGGCAAAAGGTTAGAGTTAACGGTGTACTATCAAGGTGGAAAGCAGTATCCAGTGGAGTGGCTCAGAGAACTGCATTAGGCCCCTTGCTATTCCTATTATACGCTAATGAACTACCGGGGATTCTTACTTCATCTTCATTATTAGTTGTGGACGACATTAAGATCTTGAAAACTGTAAATAATAACGCTGATAGGTCGATCCTACAAAGTAATCTAGATAAATTAGCTGAGTGGTCGAACCTGTGGATTTCGGAAATTGATTCCAGGAAAAGCGCGGTAATGCACTTAGGTCAGAAGTCTTATATATCGTACTCCCTAGGGAACATAGAACTACCTGATGTTAACGGACAGAAGGATCTAGGAATCATTGTCAGCAATCATTTGGAAACAACTGTGAATTGCAATGCAGCCTCAGCTAAGGCTTTTTGAAAGCTATGGGCACTCCGAAGAGCTTCCAAACATTTAGATGAGTCTACGTTCAAAGTACTCTACGCAACATATGTCAGGCTAGTTCATGTTTCGAGAAGGAGGGACATATCTTAGAATGAGTACAAAGGGTAGGAACTGAATTAGTTAGTGGTATCTCACAACTTCCTTATGAATAAAGGATGGAGCATTTAAATTTCTTCCCGTTATCATACCGAAGGAAGAGAGGCGACTTAGTCTTAGCATACTGTATACTTAAGGGTGACTTAGGAACTGACCTTTCAAACCTTTTCTCCCCTTCTAGGTGCTCAAACCGAAGACGATTAAAATACGTGCAGAATTTGGATTCTCTCACAGAATGATCAACAAATGGAACTCCTTACCTGATTTATTAGTATCAGCTCCATCGATGAATGCTTTCAAAGAGAAGCTAAATCTCTGCAGAGATACATTTTGCGGGGATTAGCATAGGCCACAAGAGCCTACTATCCTTATCATCTGAATCTGAATCTGAAAACCCTCTCTATCCAATCAAGAATCTGTACAAACTGGAAATGTATCAAAAACCAGTAATAGCCACCATATAATCATAAAAGAACACATGGTGTGCACTGGAAGCAATACTATCTGTTATTCTACTCTATTAGATTTGGAAGAAAGCCAGTAGAATATCTATTGTGGCATATTTTGGCTTCGGGGATAACTACTTAAAGTCAGTGATATGGTGTTCTGTAATTTTGTACAGTGGACACACATTATTCAGATCGGAATACCAACGTCAATGAATGTATACTACAGCAATAGAAAAGCAATAAATTTACAAGGTGCAAATAAAAGAGTACTAACCTTCCTTGGTATATTTTTTTCGGTTTTTGTTAGGATAATCTATCTTTTGAAAAGGCTCACTTCCCGCACATACGTAAAACTCCCCACTTATAAGTTCTGATGTGGTATACACGCGGTTTCGACCGCGTGGAGTAAAAATCCTTTGAATCGTCTGACCCCTACGAATAAAGTGTGAGAGTTTGGAATTTAAAAGATCTATGAGCTGTTGTAAGTCACTATATCTTCTTGTATCAATAAGAATCAATTTTCCAGGAAAAGTATTATTCCCATTTATTAGAAATATAATCCGCTTTATCTCAGTTGTTTTGGACGTATCTGTATAAGAATTCAAGTACCACTTTGGACCAGAAGTAAATCCATTCATCAGATCTCAGGGAAACGTTCCATGCAATAATACCTGCAATGTCTGTCAATGAGCAATTAAGCCCACGAAATTGAAATAGTAAATTGAAATAAGAGCAGGGATTTTTCGTAGGGGCAAACGGTGTTGATGCAAACAAACAAGTGTTAGTCTGAGTTTAGTTTCTATTATGGGAAGGCAGTGAACGCACTGAAATGGTCAGAATCGCTGAAGATTTTGTTCTGTTTTCCATAAAAACCATGTAGTGATTTTTAACTAGACGCTAACACACTTCGCTGATTACTGCGTAAGAGGTTTGTGACCTACACAATCTTTAGTGTTTCGCTTGAAGTACATTGGCTTTCGTAGCCTCATGCCTGTCGTTGTTAGGGATCTTTTTTGAGTATGCTGTTCCTATTTATGTTACGCAATACTGCATTTATTTAGAGATTACAGATATAGATTTCATATCTAATTCAAATTCACTTAAATATGTTATAAACGCGTCCAGAAACAACTCTTGTTCTCAAATGACGTTTAGAGACAATGCTTTTACCACTTTCCCGTTAGCAACTAAAGATGGCTTTCTCCCTAATCATTCTGGTTACCTGGTTAAGTCATTCATTGGGTCCGTAAATATGCATTTCAGTTTGTGATGTTTCATTATGAAATTAGTCTATCTGAGAACAGCAGTGATATATGACTTCAGTCAGCAGGTATAACGAGGGAAAAACTGTCTAACCGTTTCTCTTCTTAGTGAAAAATTTCAAAGTAGTCTGCTCTCCATCTTCAAAGTAAATCACTTGTATGTCTATTTCAATTCCAGAATCGAAAAATGTGGACATCAAAGTCAAATAGTTTTCGGCTTCACGTTTCCGACATCTGATGGCACTACAAAACACATGTACAAAGAGTTTAAGGTGGCACTGATAGTTGATACGCTTAAGTGCACAGACTTACTGAGATAAAGAATATAGGCATTTGTGTTCACTTTCAAGTTGGTTATCCAAGACAAGTGGACTTTTCCCACAGAGAATTGCTCATTAAAATTTTCAATTTTACCAGCAAGCTTTTGTGGCCACAAACAATCTTCCAGAATCTAAACCCTAGAGCATTCATTATCCAACTTTAGGTGCTATCAAGTCGACTAGTTGAGCTAAATGAATGCAGTCGGGCATCAACCTCTTTCGACACATCACTGTGCAATACTCAGAGGCTCATCTACGGCTTCTAATTAGCTTAGAAAATATCACTACCCAACATTTTTCACCCTGTCAAATATTTTCACTCTCGGTATCAGTTATACCAGAGAAACACATTGTTCTTTGGGGATACGTAGGAGCGTTGTTACGCAACCTACCTCACGTACTTTGCAACCTCTTCGATTTCGTAAAGTGCACCATGTAGGCTAACTTTTACGTGAATGACAACTTACTTCAAGGTTTTCTAGTCAATGCGGCTACTACAAAATGTGTTCTATTATAAATAACATAAAAGAAAGCCGCCAACTTGCGTTACTTGAAGGTGCCAGTGTTAGAGGCTTTCGTCAAATTCTCAGTTTGCATGCCACCAAGCCCAAGGCAGGTATTCTGTAAGAGTTAGGCATGCTGGCAGAGAATGCAGTGCTGAAATTCCCAATAGACACCTGTGCTTCTCTATATTTCTTTTCAACGAATCAATCTGCGTGTCATTCAAAGAAGTAATTATACAAAAAATCATACATGTGGCCGTCTTTTCGGATTCTGTAGCACTGTCTCATTCACGTCAAAGGCAAATTCAAAAGCATTCTAAATGACGCGGTGGCTAAGAAATGGCATTTGAGTCAAAATCAGACCACTAAGCTTACTTGCAGCCCCGAATGTCCTACGTGATATGCTGTAGTCTGTATCCATAAGTTCAGGTAATAATAAAGGTGAACAATAAAGAAGGATGGTCAGAATATATGAATTAACAAATTGTAAGAAGAAAGATTGAGTTGTCCCAGTTCGAATCAGGTGACTTTTCTGCACGTGTTTTCGTTTATATTTATTTATTGCTTACTGTTAATTGATCTTTAATAACGATGGGCGAAAATTCTAAAAAGCGTGTTCGTGTGAACACCAGTAATTTAGAAAATAGCACCAGCTCGTCTGATAACACATTACCACCCCTTATTATTAGTAGTTCACCCAACATAAAAGACTCGAACACAACTCTGACCCCTGTAATACAGGTGGAAGATGTTCTGTCTGAAAAGGTAGAGCTCTCTTACCTAACATGCATAATTAAAGAGATGCGGCTACAGATAGATGAATTAAAAACGAAATTAAGTTCACTAGAATGTATACCCAAAACTATCTCACATATGAAAAGGGAACTGCAGGATCCTACAATCCCAAAGCTTTTTAATATGACTTCTAGAATGGCGCCTACTGACTCAAAAAGTGCGAAGGAGTTAGAAAACGCCATTGACTTTCTATCCAGCGAAGTTGTTAAAAGGCTGGCTTCGAAACAAAGCGGTATAGTTTATAATGTACCAGATAGCGAGCCCATAAAGTTGGTCCAGCACTCATTGCTGAAGGCTGCAAATCTCTTGAGTGCACCTCGTCAGTTCATTCGCCTAAGTAAAAAAGACCTAAAGCATCCTTGTCCTATACTCTTTAGGTTCGACAACCACATAATAGCTGAGCGATTTAAGAAGGCCGAAGATTTTCTGGCTACTGCCATTAAATTCAAGACTGTTAAAGTAGTCTCGGATAAAACACTTAACCAAAGGCAAGCAACCAAGAACTCCTTCGATACAAAGTTGACCACACTGAGAAATACATCTGGTATCAGTGCTTAAGTGTCGACGGACACTGAAGCACAGCAAGTCACGTGTATAGTGTTGGGAGAAAAAACGGCAAGTAAAAGCGACCCGAAACTCAGTAAGAGCAGTGTCACTGGGTGCAATCTAAAAGTACATGAGAGCACATCTGGAAAACCTGCTGACCTACATGAGGTTGACATTGACGCACAAACTATGGCTGACCAGAAACCACTGGCAGACCGCACTCAATCTGGATCCTAGCCAGAGAGTCCTGCAAGAAAGACCACAAAGCCCAGAATCCCACTCTAGACTTTGACATACCTCCCTCGTAATAAGTTTAATAAGCAGCATGTCAGTCTAAAAAATGACAATGCGTGGGTAACATGATGAAAATTGTCGTCCAGATTCTCGCACTATCTGTTAGAACTCATCAACATAATGAGTATAGATCGACACTTGATCCCCTCAATAACTTCACTCACACACGTGATGTGAGCCAATATGCATACGACTATGAAAGACCCATGAGGTACAACTACCAAGGTAATCTTAACACAGAATACCTGGGTCCAGCAAACTACAACGCAAATTGCAAGGTTAACTATATATCACCAGTAAATGAACGCAGATGCCCACCCATGGAAACAATTGGTGACATGGCTCAAAATCGTTCTCAGTGGCGCAGATGCATCCACTCCTTGTGACTTATGATTTCCAATCAAACTGTTTTGTTCTCCGTTATTACTATTCCTTTGTTTCACACCTCTGTTTACTGTCTATATTATGCATTTCTTCTACTTCCTTCTCTTGCTTTGCGTGCTACATGGAGTGTGGCGACTTGAACTGCCGCACATATGTGCAAAGTTCTATGTCGAAAACAGACAGACAGACAGACAGACATGGATGCTTAAAGTCAAAATATGCAATAGGATTATTTTCGGCTGCAGCAAACAATAGCCTCACTCGCTGCACAATTCGTCCAGGAAATAGTACACACACTGACTCTGTCTCACCTCAGAGCCCCTCCAAACATAACGTAAGGGTAGTAACAAGTAACCATGTTAACCTCTCCTCCAATAACTCTGGTTTACTAACGATTATGCTCCTGAATGCTAGATCTCTCCTTAATAAAATAACATCGCTTCGCTCCCTGGCATACATAGAACGCCCAACTCTATTAATGGTGACTGAAACCTGGCTTACTACTGATATACCTGACACAAAGCTAGTAATAGACAACTAAGACATCTATAGGAACGATAGAGTTGACAAAAGAGGAGGTGGTTGCTTAACATATGCCCCTAAATCCACTAACTCCAATACATTCAACAACCCAAATACTGACAAACTCCCAGAATCTAAGTGGATAAGCATCCACACAAACGAAAATAAAATTCTTGTGGGATGTATATACAGACCACCTAATAGCCATGAAAAGACTGATATAACTATTGTAGAGATACTAGAGCATGTCGCTATGCTGGACTTCGACTACAAAGTCTGTGGCGATTTCAACCTACCTGGAGTAAACTGGGATAGCTGTACATGACCTAGAATCCATGACGAGCTACTACAAGCTATAAACGTAGGCGGATGGAAGCAGTGTGTACGCCTCCCTAAAAGAAATAAAAATACTCTTGACTTAATCCTCTATCATGAAATGGAGCCCACCTCGATAGAGGTGGGAAATAAACTCGATAACAGTGATCACAACATATTGTACTGCATGCTACCCCTCCGACTAACAACTAAATACACACCTAAAAATTCCCCGGTGCACTATCAATATAGGGACTATAAGAATGCTGGTTGGGAATTCCTATCAGATCTGTTGAGAAGTTCTGACTGGGAAGAATACTTCATCAACAAAAACTTAGAAGTATCACTTGAGATTTCCTACAAAACAATTGGCTCAGTAAGAGACACAATCGCACCCCTAAAATCTGCTCTAAAGACACCAACTCCATTTACAGACCAAAAAACGCAACTTAAACTATAGAAATTGGAAAGGAAATACCATATATTTAAGGAATTTAATGCGTTAAACCAAATACATGAAACTCTTAAACTGCTTGAAGATAAACACAAAATGATGTCACAACTTGACGAAAATGAATAAATAAAAATTCCAAAACTCAGGAACTTTGTAGGATATTGCAGAAACGTCTAGAGGCAGTAAAGACAATAATGTAAGCAGCTTGGAACATAAGGGTATAATATACAACGGTCCCCAGGTTATAAGTGAACTCCTCAGTGAGTGGTTTTGCAATAACACCAGAGTGCACCCGACCCCAAATTTCCAAATGACCTGCAAAAGTAACCACAAATTAGGCGAAATAGACTTTAATATACAAAATATAGACTCA